CAGCTGAAACGACGCGTCCTACAAGACCTAGTGAAACTGGGCGCATTCAGTTGTGACTCGATCTAACTGGGCGAGTCATGACTCAGGGCATAGCCCACTTTGACATCTTCTGAGTGCATTGGGTCATTTAACCAGCGAATTTTAGTTGCTTTTCTGTGTAGTAGCAACAATAGAGGGAGTTGAAATGAGAAAATTGTGAAGAGGTACAGAATGGTCTTCAAGATCAAGTTACCTCTCCGGGATATTCACAATGCCCGAGTTCGACCTCAACCTTTTGTTTATTGCATCGTGGTGCCACTGATCTTGAAGACCATTCTGTACCTCTTCACAATTTTCTCATTTCAACTCCCTCTATTGTTGCTACTACACAGAAAAGCAACTAAAATTCGCTGGTTAAATGACCCAATGCATTCAGAAGATGTTAAAGTGGGCTATGCCCTGAGTCATGACTCGCCCAGTTAGATCGAGTCACAACTGAATGCGCCCACTCTTTCATTGGAGTGAGGTTCCTTGTCGAACCATCTTCCTTTCACTGAAATCGCCTGTGGCCTATTGCTTATGCCTACGGCTATCTTAGCTTCTGTGAACACTCGACTTCGACACGGGACTTCATGATGGGCAAAAGTGCCTCTTCGCGTCCCTACCCGAACTTCGAATCCTGAAATGTACTACCTGGGTGGCTGAAAAGTGACTACATTTTAAAACTTGAATATCTTACTAACGACTGAAGACGCGAGCAAGAAAGCGCGTTTCTGCAAGTACGCTCTTTTGGATTTCGCAGTATAGAAATTAGGTCGAATAGAAAGTATAGAGATTAAGCGTTATCGTTTCCCTGAAATAAGTACTGACAAAAACATTCAACATTTAAATTGTTACCATTACTGCCTTGACTTATCAGCCTCCTCTGTACACAAATTGTATCCCCAATCTGGCCTAATGACATTCAAGGACAACAGCAAGTCAATAATTTTCATGTAGGACATTGTAACTCCTTATTTTGCTTTGGATGTGCCGGACATCTTGCCACCAGAATCAACTAATACCAAACCGGGAACGTTGGTGATGCGAATTTGAAATACTTTTTTGACGTGTTCATTTCAGGGAACATGGATGCCCATCGACTTAATGTTCATACTTAACCACGATCTCATGAGCACGAGCCGGAAGACTACAGTTTCTTTGAATAGACGCACGCGTACTTCTTAGTCTTAAGAAGTGCTAAAAGTTACGTTGAATAGATACTTATTGTAACTGCTAACTAGCACCAAAAATTAATTTACATAATGGTATCACTAGCGATGTTTCTTAATTGCTTAAAATGCTAGTTTAATAAATACACTAATTTAGTTACTACTCAGTAATATCAACACTACACGTGGATGAGTTCGTTCTTGACGCCCTAAGACATCTAGAAAATAAAATATGCTTCTCCGCCTTGGCCGGATAACTGCGTTGCATTTGCAGCGCATGGACTGCCGGAGATTCTGTCAACAAGATCAAAGGCTCGAAAGTGGAACTCATGAAAATCTCAGATTATTTCTGACTTCAAACAAATGATGTGGCATGATAGGAGTATACCAATGGATAGACGAGAATCAAAGTTCTCATTTGGTATTGTAGAATGCTAAAGTAGTGCTGTATTCCATTTTACGGCTTGAGACAGGAATGCTAGTACGAAGGAGACCAACAATCGTGAATTAGTGACAACAGCAAGTTATACTCGATGTCATTAGAAAGAGGAAAAAATCGGAAGGAATGTGGGAACAATTTCATCGCTTTTCATCGTAATCAATACAGTCCTTTCCTGTCCTGTCCAGAAGAAGCACCAGAATGAAAGAATCGTGACGGAGGAGGTCGCCGGAAATGAAAAAATAATTTATGAAAATTTGCGGTGACTGAGGGCAATTTACTTTAGAACGTCCTGTCTAGAACCTGTCGGAAAATAAGACAAAGATATAGACTCCGACTTTACTGATTCAAATTGCCTTGAGAGGACTCCGTTGTGGTTGGAATTGCGATGTATCTTATCCATCTATCCCTCAATAAAACTGAGGTAAGGAATTTTCCATCTCGATCGTGAGGTAGATGAGTGTCTCTCATGTAGCCCCTTCTATTAATACCTCAGATGGCCAATTATTAATTCATTGAGGCTTGAGAAACACTCAAACACTTGGCCAGCCGTTCCGCTGCCCAAAGCATCTCAATTGGAGAATCAAAGCAGAACCCGACGTGAAACGAGCCCTCGGACCCAAGAATCATCCATTGCGGTGAAACTTACTTGGTCATACGAATCCATTCTACTGAATAATTGGTTTACCGAGCCGCTCTGCATGCTCCTGTCGGAGAATCCAGTGGAGGGCATCCGTGGACCATTGGCCTGAATTGGTGGTTCAACCCCTGATGTCTCTTACGCTCCATTTGGAAGTTTTGAATCGCCATTGCAAGAACTTGCATCGAAACATCGTGGCTTACATCCAAAGAAAGTTAAGAGATTAAGAGAAAATGTAATTCCCATCTCTACTTAGTTTCAGTCACTGCGAATAAGAAGAAAGGATGACCAGACTGTTCATCATATCTCATGAGACATTAAACGACATGAAGGAGGCCATCCTGAACTCCGACAATTGACAGACTTCCCATATTGCCTCAGAGAGTGTGATTTTTTTGTAAGTCCCAGAATAAAAACATCTTTATCTAATGTTATCTAATCATCTCTCTCTGTTGTGTTATCCAGATATCAGCGCTGGTGCGTATGTATATGTTGAAACGTTTGCTAACGCGTCTTCGGATGTTCGGACTGACGTCACTCAGCCTTTCAGCAATGGTGTTCAGCGCCGCATTAACTCGGGATGAAAATGGGAAGAGCCCAATCCCGAGCCCTTGGGTGAGGCACCTGACCTGAGGGCTTGGGATTGCATTGCTGTTAATCCTGAATTAAATCCAGCTTATGCATTGACACGCACGCCCCATATCTCACCTATTCCCTGATAGCCTAGAGGGATTACAGGTACTAAATTTGATACGGAATTTACATTCTATTAGCCAAAATCGTAATCTGAAAGTTGGACAAGGACTTTCGGGACATTATTTTCGATACAATTATGATGCTTCCGGATTGAATCGGTACTTTCCACTTTAATCTATTGCAGGTAGTGAAATCTTTCACATGGATAGTTTCGTGGATCATCCGATGAAGCGGATCCTCTGGAAGTTTTCTCCGTTCTTCACTATAGGTTGAGGGGGCGGACACGAATTCAATCCAAAAACAGTGCAGGCTGACGCCGCTTGCAGGAGTCTAAGCAGCACGATGTTTGAAAGTTGAAATCGCAATTCCCATTGCTTCTTGAGCGCTCAGTTTTTATTTGGGATGGTGCATTGCATCAAGATTAGTGACTGAATTCCCCTCACCTTCGCAGTTTAAAATCCCAACTCGGATATGGTAAATACCGATTGTTTTACAGCTGGAATTTTCCAACTGGAATGCAGCTGATAGTTAGCAGTTTTAATAGCTGTTTCCAGTTGGAAATTTCCAATTAGAATTTTGCCGATGACCCTCCAGCTGGAATAAAGCTGAATTTACAGCTGAAATTCAGCTGCTCCTGTAGCGGGACCCTGGTAAGAATAGCTCACAAAAACATTCTCATTCCACCAGTGATATTGCATCAAGGAACCAATCTGGATCTGACTTTACCCAGTTACCCAGTAGGAATAGACTCGAATTTCCATCTGGGGTCCAGCTGGAAATTATAGCTGTTTCCAGCCGGGATTTTTAGCTGGGTAGGACAAGTCGTAGGCAAGATAGTTCAGCAGACGACGCAGTATGCACCAATCACAACCCAGGTTGCGTGGTGACGTATCCATGTCAAGGGGGAAATGGCGTTTTTGTGTTGCGAGGTTGTGTCGTCATGATCTGAGGTGTTACTGAAGTCAGGCCTATGGGCCTCGAGGCCGGGGGCAAACTAGAACTTTCTTACCAGTAACGTTAGACCTAGGCCTTCAGAAGAAGTAGCCATATGTCTATATCTAATGTTAAGCTCCAGTAACGCAAGGATACGTTTTTAATAAGTCATGGTTTTTACTCGTGCATCTTAACGTTAAAGGGCTTCCCGTCATCCACTTTAGTTTCAGTTTAGGTCTAGGTGTAGGCCTAACGATAAACTGGATATGTGGAAGCATTATCGGTATCGCATAAGTTATTTTCCCTAGAAACAAGCAATCATTCGGCGTAGTGTGCCCATCACCTTACTGAAGTTTGTAGCTGTGATGATCTGTTACTTGCCATCTGCCACCGAATCAACTTTGCGGTTACGGTGTACAACTTTACACCTTCACAAATTTCATCTTCACTCCAGCAAGACCATCATTGCATTGGCGTAGTTAGTGGATTCCCATTATTTTCTCTCAGGTTCTGTGTCAAAGGCCTAAGAGTGAGAAAGTCAACCTATTTTAGAGGATGATGGGTCAGTTAAGTTAGAAAAGGGTTGCGGCCTTCAGCCGTGATTATCACTCACTCTTTCAGCCCAACATAGAAGGAATGCAGCTCCCGGGGTATGTGCCTAGAGTTAGTTCCTATGTGGTGCTTTTGGGTTTAGTGAAAGCCCAAAAGAGCTGATGAAACGTTAGTCAGAGTATTGAGCCCCAATATGTCAGTAGCATTTAACAGGTACTCAGTATTTACTTTCTGTTATTTTGGCGTCCATATTGTTAACAAAATTGCCGAAACAGTGTGTTTTGTGATTGTTGTGATTTTAGATTTTACTTTCGTTCATTGCAATGAGTCTTGAAAAAAAATCCATAAGGGTGTAAAGTTGTACACCATCCCCTAACTTTACTTCTATAGCTTACTTCTTATTACTTCTACATCTTAGTTAACTAACATTTTCAAAGTTTATGAAATGAGACCCATCTTTAAGGTAACCATTTTTTATGAAGATCATTATGACTATTGTTCATTCTCAATACTACCTATCTTAAGTGAAATTGCAGAAAAACTCATTGTCCAATCTTTATAAATGTTTCTAGAGTCTAGACACTATCTACCCTTCAATTTTGTTCCTTTCCTTGCCACACCTGCTCCATTGCCAGTGCTGTCATCTAATGTTGGTTGATATTCCCAATATCATGGAATCTCTGCATAAAGAATGGCCTATGAGACAGGCAGTGATTTCACTGTTGACCTACTCATTTTCTGCTCATGAAAGTCATCCACTGATGATGTCAAGCCATTGACCATTTTCATATCCAAGTTGGTTCTCAGGTGGACTTCAGCAAATAAGACTGTGATAGGCATTAAGTCAGGTGGCAGGGATGGCAAGGAAAAGGGAGGAGAAGGCTGCAAAGGCCTCCTATCAGAAAGAACAAAAAGTGAAGAAGTCCTTGACAGGCTCCAAGTTTGATGATAGCTTTGTAAGTGTGAACAAACAACTCTCTCCACTTGGCCTCATGCTGCGTGAGATCCCCGGTGATGGGTATGTTTTTCATTCATCCAGCTTTGAATGGACCTGCTGGATGCAATTACATAAAGAGAGTTATTTATTGTTCTTCTAGGAATTGTCTTTTTCGTGCCTTGGGAGACCAACTAGATGGACACACCATGAATCATCTGACACATAGGCGGGAGACAGCTGAATATATGAAGGAGCACCGCCCAGACTTTGAGCCTTTTGTAGAAGATGACATCACCTTTGACAAACATGGTAAGTTGTCATTCTTTTGGATTACAATTATCTGTTGAATTTCTGGCTTTATACTCTGGTATTTTCATGCTATCTTTCAGTTGAAAGCTTGGGAGAACCCGGGACATATGCTGGTAATGATGCCATTGTTGCCTTTGCCCGGCGCCACAATGTTATTGTCGTGATCCATCAGCTGAATGCCCCCCTATGGAAAGTCCATGGTGGAAAGAAAGGTGCCAAGGAAATTCACATTGCCTACCATAATGGAGATCATTACAATAGTGTTCGACGCATTGGAGATCATTCTGACAGCCCTGCCAACGTGCGAGTGAGTCGAGAAACTGCATTGTCGATTAGAAAAGTCTCAAGGCTGAGGATTCCCATTGATCTGTTGATGTCTTTGCATTTCTTTCAGATTGGATCTCCAACTCCTGAAAATGATGGGAATGATGAAGTGAATCTATCTGGACTAAGTGAAATGGAAAAATATGTGATGGAGCACACTAACTGCATGGATCCAATTAATGTTCGCCAGGCTCTTGAAGACAACGAATATGATGTCGAGGCTACTGTTGATTTCCTCAATGTTCTCTACAGATGTCGCAAGTCTTGTAAGCCATTGTCCTTGTATCAACAAAGCTTTTTCATTTGGTGAGGTCTTGCCAACTCTTATTATTAGGTTGGTGCAAAAATAATTGCGGTTTTTAACCATCAACTTTAAAGCAGTATATCTCAGCTTAGAATAAAGTTTATTAATCGAAATAAGAACCATTAGAATCTACGCACTTTTGCCAACAAGAAACAAGTCTATTTATTCCTGTAGCATAGAATTCTNATCGTTTTTGTTGCGCAAAAGAAGCGCAGAGCAGACTTCGTAACGGCGAACTTTTTGATTTTCGTTCAGCTCGTGCGGCACCCATTTGTCGAGCTTTTTTGATTTTCCAATTGAGTGCAAATGTCGAACAACTGTTGAATGGTCAACGATTAGTTCTTCTGCAATCTCTCGAGTTGTTTTGCGTGGGTCCGCTTCAATAATGGCCTTCAATTGGTTGTCGTCAATCGCAGAAGGACGTCCGCGACCCTCCTCATCTTCAAGGCTCTCGTCTCCGCTACGAAATTTTTGGAACCAATGTTGAGCTGTACGTTCTTTGACGGTCCCCTGGCCAAATGCTTGGTTGATATTGCGAGCAGTTTCCGCTGCTTTACGTCCCATTTTGAACTCATACAATAGAATCGCTCGAATTTGCTTTTTTTCCATCTTTAATATCACAGCCTAAAATAAACAAGAATAAACAGCGAAAACAAACCATTAGCATAAATCAGTAGAGCGAATTCCGCGCTTTAACATGGTATATTACATGAACATAGTTAAATAAAAGTTTATTCCAAAATAAGCATCAAAGTTTGGAATAACAAAAACCGCAATTATTTTTGCACCAACCTAATAGTAATTCTTGGAATGTTCATCTATTCGGTACCTAAATTATTCTAGCTTTTAATTCTGCCAGCTGAAGGTATACTGTAGTATATATCGCATCTTCATTCTTGGAGATGAGATATGCATAGTCTGTTGTATAGTGGTTATTGTGAGCAAGAGTATATTAGTGTGTTTCTGTACATCTGAATGAATATTATGATGCATGGACCTATTTTCCCAGGACATTTGTACTTGGGGTTCAGCTGTTGCCACTTGTGCCAGTTGCATCCACCATTCAAATGCATATAGGCTATGCAGCGTGCATTTAGTTATGATATGTTATAACTGTCATGACTTGGGGCATGGCCCATATGGACATTTGGCACAACCTCCTCCTCAATGCAGTGTCATTTTTTCTAATATGGCAACACATAGATGCAAGTGTAATTTAAGTTCTTTTATGAGTAGTACCATCAACAGAGGTAGTTGAAATAGGAAAATTATTAAATGGAACAGAGTGCACTTCATGCTCCAATTACCACTCTGGGATCAGCATTTAAGCCTCTTGACATGATTCATCTTGGCCCAACAAAAGTATTAAGTACTTACATTTTATAGCGTGAGGTGTTAAAGTTCCAAATGAATGTCTAAGTTTTCATTATTTGGTGTAGATATGTGAGAGCTTCAGTTGAAAATGCCACACTGGCTGCAGTGGTTTGTGGTTTGTCAAAATTTGGAGGGATCATTAGCTCAGAGTGTTATTGTGCCAAATTTTGTGGAAACAAACTGTGTTGTATGGGCATTTTCAAGTGGCATTTTTGCATGCGGAGAAATACTTTTGAGGTAAGATTGAGATTATGATGCCAATGCAATTTGGGTTGCATTGGTGTTATAATTTTGCCCACCCAGTATGCACATAGGTCACACTCAGGTCTGCATATGTACATGGTGTTTAAAAAAAAACTCTGCCAATTCGTTTTTTATAGGAATGATGGTGAAATATTGGGCCAATCAAATGAAATTTACTAACTCCATGTGGATAGATGAAAGAAAGTTTTTGCCAAGTTTGAACAGTATTAACCCAATGTGTCATGTGCTGCACTGTTTAAAAGTTGAAGGTTAAGAAAATGCATCAGACATCCTTGCTGATGAATCTGCCTCAGCTGTGCAGTGGGCAAGTGTCTTTACGTGCCATACAGAATGGCCAAAGGGGTTAGCTTCCCCAGCTGAGGTGAATGCATCAGTGGGCTGGTATGACTCACTTTTTTACCTATTAAGTTTGAATTGTTATAGAGTGTGATACAATGTATCAATTTCCTTCAAATTTGGCTCATACCTTCTTTCCTTCGTCCACATGCAGTGTTAAAAATATTAAGTCGATCAGGTGAAATTTACATTTATTAATAGTGAAAATGATTTGGCGCAGTTTTTTTTAAACACTGTATATTTGCCACTGCATGCCTTCTGTGGTAGATGCCATGTTCACAGAGATGACACAACGGGACTGACTCAATCTCTGAGACTAAGGCTTCTGCATCATCATCCAGTGCATTCAGTGCTTTGCACCATGACTCAAGTCATAGCCTGGATCACAACTGAAAGTATCTACTGTCATGGTTGGCAAGAAGCCTGAAGTCTCCATGGTTTTGCTTCTCTTTACCTTCTTACCTAGGCAGAATCACACTGATACAGATCTGAAATCTTTGATATCTGATGCACAAAGTCAAGACTTTGTGCATCAGATATCAAAGTGACTTATGGGTGGGTGGAAGATAGTTTTAATCCATGATTGGCTGTATCTGGGTGGTAGAGCTTAGGCTTCTTCATGCTCATACTTTCATAACATCATATTTGATCAGTTTATGGAATTATTACTATTTTTTAGGATAGTTAACCAAGGTTTTTGAGTTTCTTATGATCTTTTTTCATTATCTTTAGTTTTCATTTGGTGTATCACCTGTTGAGTTGTCATGGAGCACTGGAAAGGGGAGAACATTTTATTTAGATTTACTTGCAGAGAATGTGAATGGGAATGGAACTTAGTAATTGTAGGGTCATTGCTATAAGAACATGGAGGGATAAAGATATAGCATACCAGCAATAAACAAAAGTTCACTCTGATGATAGGGTTTCACATGAAATTGAGAATTGTGAAGCAACTACAGCACTTGATGTACTTACTCCATGTTTAGAGCTGGACTTGATAGGAGAGTTACATCAAGTTCGTATTTGAATTTTTAATTTTTTAAGAGAGGACATGGCATAGATGACAAGTTGGGATCATGGATCTCACTTAATTCATATTCAAGGCAATCTTATTCTGGCTTAGTGAAATATAGTTAATGTTGATGAAGTTCTAGATTATCTTGACATTGCCCTTTCATGCATGATAATTTTCCAAAAGGTGTGTTAATCTTTCTTCCTGGGTTAGAGCCCTCAGAAAATGTTTTAATGTTAGGCCAAGTGTGTATCACTATAATCTGGATTGCCTTGCTTACAGTTCAGTGGAAAGGTGACATGTTAATCTGGATATCATCATTAATCTTAATGATACATCATGTGTTTTATTTTGTTTTTCCTTTGGAGCTGTATCCAATGAAACCAATTACTTGTATATTAGTGACTAAGTGTACTTCACATCATTTTGCATTATTTCATCAATTGAAAGTCATCTGTAAAACATTAAGTTGCTGCAGAATCATAAAAATGGGCCATTTATGACATTTTGGGTGTAGTTCAGGCATTGTTGTGTTCATTAGATATTTGAGATCTACTTCAGGAAATAGTGCCAATGTAAGATGGTTGGAACAAATGGGCTATAGAAGGTCTGCACAGTTTCGTATTTCATCCTTACTGGGGGCTGAAAGTGGCCCTTATATATCCACTTCTTGTTTATCTAATCTAATGTTTCTTGGAATCATTCCACAATATGGTGATTTAGAGAGTAATTTTATTTTATCAGTTGGAAATGTGAATGAGAGAGGTGGAGGGAGCTTGTGGGGAGAAGAAGGGAGTGGTCGAAGGATCTTTGGGGATGAAATAGCCGATGATGTAGCAGGGAACCAAGGCGCCCGACCAAAGGACTCATCCCTCTCTGCAGCAGGGAATGGGATCTCCAAATACCATCAGCCCAGAGTAAACCCCATTGTTTTGTTTGTTATTGTAAGAGGCATGTTTTCTCAATTTTGGCTAAAGGCAGGACCAAGAATTTGGGTCTCCTTATAACCAGAACATAATCTTCACCCTATTCTAAATAAATAAAGAGACACTAAAGCCATCTTTTTATTTTCAGCCTTTGCATATCAACTCACCTGGAAATATGAACCAAATCCAAAATTTCTAAAATATATTGATTGCCTTTCTAATTTTTTCCTGTATACAGCCTTAGATGCAACGCATTTAGCTGTTGCATGTGCTAGTGATAGGGTGGTGAGAGTTATTGCTATTTAATTCTAAGTTTTATTTCACTTGTCTCACATCTTGGATGATGTTGCTGAATGATACCAATAAGCCTACTGGCAGTACAATATTGCCATGTAAGAATGAGTTGCCCTAAAGAGTCCTGTCATGCTGTATTCCTTGTCTCTCAGCATCCCATGGGGAAATGGGTTAACCCGGATGAATCTGAGGTGAAGAAGACCAAGATGCCACCACTTTCGTGCAGTTCAGAGAGTGAGCCTCATGTCACCAAACACATAGAGAGCCTCAGCATCTGATCCTCTCCTCTGTCATTTCTTTTCCCTGTCTTGTGAAACAGAAGTACCTTTTTTGTCCATCCTTCCCTGTTTACTGCCCTTAACATTTGTTCCTTAGCTCATCAGGTCTTTTCTCATGTGTGGCCAGCAAAAAAACTCAAAGAAATAGGCACACATACAGAAGAGCCTCTGTACTGTGATTGATTTCCTCGTGAAGCCCGCCCAGCCCCTTGTTCATGGATGACACCTTTTTTTTTTCTTCATTTTCTCTCCCTCTCTCATCTCTGGTGCTTTCAGAAACTTAGAAACTTTTCAGGTGCTTGATGCACCTTACCAGTCTTCAGAATTTAGCCAACTCAAGAAGAAACTGCTATTATGAAAAGAGAAAGTCTGTTCTGAGTATTTATATTGTGCTCAACTTACTGTGACTAGCATTAGAATCATCCTGGGAATTGTCATGTGACTTTATTTGGGATATCCTTCTCTTGTCTTTTTGTGGCAGTGATTGTTTTGCCAGGTGAGTTGAGGAAGGGCACTAGAGGAATTGTCCATTCATTACCTTACATTATGTTACATTACATTACATCACATCACCATAAAGTACATGAAGATACAATGAAGAATAAAAGCTTTGTTGGATTCCATTTTTTTCTTTGTTTTATTAAGCAAAAGCTGTTTCTTTTTATTTCTCACTGAAGTCATGGAATCTCAGGATAAAATGCAGCCTGTTTTGGATATTCCATGGCAATCAGTGCTGAGTTCATCTATATAAGGCTCCAGTTTCATTAAGCTAATATCCATTCCAAAAGCAGGATCCAGCCCAGGCTGCTCTTCAGGACATTTTTTGCAAATATTGATTTATTCATCAGACTTTTAAAGTGGTAGTATATGGCCTATTCTGAGTTTTCTGAGGTCTTGGTAGCTTTCAGAATATAGCTAGTCTCAGATATACTCAGGAAATATTTTTTGGTCCTTAGGTCATTAGAAGCAAAAAATGTTTTTTTTCTCCCATTACATACAAATGAGTATAAACTTATCTCCAATACTACCACTTAATTTTTTTTTTTAAATATTGAGAAAAGAATACCAGCACGAATGAAGGGAAGGTTTTTTTTTTATTGGAGGAGACAGGTGAGGCGCAGAGTTGTGCTTTGGATAAGTGCAGAATTCGATTGATGACCACAAGATGTGATTATCTGCAACGCGGTATTCAAAGTAGCAAAATGGAAACGAGCTCACGTTCAAGGTGATAAAAGTATCCTACTTTAGAGTGGTATGGCGCCCATAAACTATTAGTGTTTATATTAAACTATTATCAGTATTATTAGTATCAAACACAAGCGTAGCGTGGATGGGAAAAATGGAGAGGTTGCGGTACGGGAACTAGTGGGACATCATTTGTCACGCACTTGCATATTTTTCTTCAAACTTTTGCTGCTTTTCTTCTCTTTTTTTAGGGGGGGGGGGGGGACACGTGCCCCCTGCCCTCCCTTCCCAATGCCACACCTTGATCGCACACGTATGTCAAGAGACATATGGGGAATTAATTGAACCATTACCATATTTTCGTCACCGGGGGTGCAACCATTCCATAATTACACCACCTACTAATCGCACCAGAGCATAATTTGTATGAAAGTCATGCAATTTTTGCGGTAAAGCTGCAGTCAAGGACCTGGAATAGAAGAGGACTGGACATTCCACTGGAAATCGCGTATCAGGAGTCATCCACCCTGTGCAGGCAGCGAACCTGGTGGTCGCTGAGGAAAACTACATTTGTCTGTCTGTCTTCCATGGCGAACCCAGGCGGACGCTGGCGTTCTGCTATTAACTGTAATAATTCCGACGGAAACTCGGTAGGGTAACACTTCTTCAGATTTCCAGGACTCCAAAACAGGCCAGTATTGAAGATTAAGTTTTGTATGAGCCCATGTTTGCGCCTCAAGGATGTGCTCCTTCACCCTGAAAGACGTCCAAGGGTACTCTAGATCCATCTACATATAATGAAAATAAACTCTCAGCTTTCATTATGATAATAGTGAGTATAACTCATGAAAACTGGTTATATTCAGAAATGGAAAATGAAAGTTTTCTTCATAAAACACTAACACAAAATCAGCCAAACTGAGATAAGTTGGACAACTTCAAATGTGCTTCTTACAACTAATTTTCATTCACGTTCGCACAGAAAACTGCACGCCCAACACGCAAAGCACCTCGAGCCCAACGCTCAAAGCTGTCAGCTGAGGCATACTGCTTCTCGACCCTTCCTCTTCCCCCTGTCTGATAATATTGAAGAATAAGTACCTTCATCGGCAACAACATTACTCTTTGGTTTCATGGTGTTGTTCATCTTCCCGATAAGGTGCACACGGAAAAACTCAGAATAACTGTCGGAAACGGATGGAATACATGTACAACAATGAGGCAATGTTGTGTTTTTCCTCAGCAGCCGCTCGGAGCGCTGCCTCCTCATCGCCATCCCTGTTGATACGCGGAGTGCAAGCGTGCCGCTTCCGAGTGATCACTCCAGTTCTATTAATGGTCCTTGGCTTCAGTATCTGCTCTGCACTTCTATCACTATTATGCATACTGGTCTTTATAGCGGTATCGGCTGCGTATTTTATACGATTTTTTTGCCATTTCTTGGTAGTATCCTAATGATGCCATGGTCATTACCCCGAGGCAAGATTATTTAAGAGCTGGAATCAATTCCTCATGTGGCTCTTGTGATGCCTATGTGATGGCACCATCCTACACCCTAGGGTTTAGCCGCGAGAGTGCTCTGAAGTGGGATAGGGTAAAACGGCAAAACCCGAACACCTGAAGGTTGAGTCGAACACACGCACCTTAAGGTCGAGTCGAATACACATTATGGCGGTCATCTCGACCTTGTGGTTTGTGCGTTCGACTCAGCCTTCAGGTGTTCTGTTTTTTGCCGTTTTACCCTAGTTACTTTATAATCACCCAGCACCCAGTCTTGAACCAATTTGAAAATTAGGTACTTAAATATGAACTAAAAAACATATATTAGTATTGTCTGCGGGAGAAGTGGCTTGCGTTCGGCCTGATCGTATCTCTTGAATGTCCGTGAAGCGGTCAGGCGATGCGCTGCGTTCCGAATCAAAGCTAATTTTGTTTTGCTTTGTGAGAACAGAGATCGCTGCTTCTAATATTTCCTGACGATTTTCATAATTAGGCAGAGATCTAATCAGAGATGGAAGGAGGTTCTCCCCTTCCCCCCTTGGAATGAATCAAGACTTCTGCAAAATAATTTTGGACTGCGGAAAAAAATGAATGAGATGTGCGAGGTCTGATCAAAAAGTTCCAGTACTTTCTTGTTAAAAAATAAACCGCTTTAAGTAGGGGGCTAGGACTTGTGTGCTGGGATAGAGGGAAAAAAAAGTACCCTGTTCTTTACACTAACTTCATCCCTTGATTTTGCTCATTTCCATTAAATTCGTGCTTGAAAGGAAAACTTTTATAATCCAGTT